GAGTGGTCTGCAAGTGACTGTGTGTGATGTGAGGAAAGGCAAGAAAAGAATGTCAGAGGAGATATCAGCATGTAGGAGACAACACTAGACAGGGTATTGTCGAGTTTGGATTAGCGAAGTTTTGTCACAGTTCCAACAGTTTTGCTGTAAAAAGTAAGATTTGAGATGCTTGTGTAATAGTTGTTATATAGAAAAAAAATGGCTTTGTTTAATTTGTCTGCATATTGATCTAGAGCAGGATTTTTAACAGCTATATGGTGTTGGTCTAGATCTTCTCCCAGCATGGTTAAAAGCAGTGGCCGCAGCAAAATTTAATCTACTCTATATCCATTCAAAATAGAATTGAAACCTGCCTCCCCTCAGCACTTGTTCCCTGGTGCACTCCTGTGTTTGTACCCTCATTTTCAACAGAGCTGTTCTGACAAGGTGTAATAAAAAAGGTAAATTTGCTCTGGCTTGCAAGACCACTTTCTGTGTCCTTTCTTTGAGAATTAGCCAAAATCCATATGGTGTGCTTGGACAACTGAGCTTCTGAGTCACAGAATAATGTCATTACTGTTTACTTCAATCCACTTTGACCAACTTTACTTGATCAGCTGTATGATTAAAGGTAGATATTTGATTCAGTATCACTCAGGAGTCCACAGGAGGTAAAGAAAGCAGTTCAGATGGTCCCAGATAGCAGGGTCAATGGACCAAATGGGAAGGTGAAGAAGAACTTTTTAATGAAGGCTGTCAGAATTATGTTAGTTGCTTAAGTCTTGAATTACTCATTGGGATGGTTCTTGTTAAGTGTATTTTCATGTTGTATAGACACACATTTATTAAAATTTTAAGTACTCTATTGCTGTTGGAAACCCATAATTAATTGATTAATTCCTTTCTTTCTTTAACGCAAGAACATTATTAGGAAAGAAGGAGAGACCAGTAGTTACAAAGCATTGGGCTGGGACTTGGGAGTTTCTGCTTCCCTTCCCAGCTCAGTCACAGGTTCACATTACAGAGACAGCTTCTTGGCTGCTCATAGCTACCCACTGAGCTATAGTGACCATCCTTCCTCTGAGTGTATGTACTGACCATCCTTCCTCTCCTAGCTTACATAGTCAGAGCAGGAGTTAGCTGCCTTACCACAGGTAAACAATACGATTTTAAAAGCACAGTACTGGATGGGCAATAGATGAAGAGGTTCAGGTGAAATAATCAATGCTGGCATGATGCTTGGTTCAAACTGAAAGAAAAAAAAAATCAGCAAGTGCAAAGGTCTTATCCTTCTCTATTTTCCTGTATATGGCTCTTATGCTGTAGGTGCTGGCAACAGATATTTGCATTTTCTAGACATGAAAGAAAATTACCTGGTAAAAGGATTGATTTGTGCTGTGTCATGGGGTGCATACAGGGGCACTACTTGCAATACTTGGGTGTCCTTAATCACCCATCCCCATGCTGTAATATACCTCAGAACTACCACCCCTTGAATACAAATGCTAAGCTTACAGGAAAGAAGACACTTTCTGTGAAGCCCAGAAGACTTTTCATGGAAGCTTGCTTTCAAGGAAATTTTCAAGTTTCACTTTGAAGCTGTACAAAGATGTATCCTGCAGACCACAGATTTTTCAAATTTTGTATCACTGTTACCAAGGAATGTGTCATGGAATAAAACTGATAAAAATGATCCTGTCTTCATTAAACTCAATAAAGAACTAAAGTAATGCTCAAGACCTTTGAAAGTAATTTTTTATTTTCACATCATCTAATCTCAGTGAGTAGGTTAGATGTGTCATTTTTATCTTAAAGTGAGAAAACTGAAGCCTACTAGTGTTAGTGATGTTCCCAAGGCCAAAACTGAGCAGCCTAACTGAGATAGTCAACTATCCTGAATTTTCAGTCCAATGGTTCTCTCATCAGGTGGTCCATCCCCATCTGAAATCATTCCAGTACAGTATCCATCCTGTATCCAGTTCCAGTACAGTAATCCATCCTGCACAGTACTTGGCCAATGAAAGACATTACTGGAGATCTTTATGGTCAATAAGATTATTTTGTCATCTATTTTGGTGGTTAGAAAGAACAGAAAACAGAATGCATACTATTCTTTCACAATATCCTAGATGGAAATCACCCAGATATTAAAATTTTGGTAGCTCTGTCACAACTAATATTAGTGTTACAGAAATAAGGTACCTTCTTTGAGGTCTGAAAAGAAAATCCACGGTAAAGCTGTTACATGTAGAAATAATGAAAAATCAGTCTTCTTTTGAAAGATTCTGGGGCCTAAATAAAGGTTTCTAATGTTAGAGCAATTTGCCTACTCTCCCGCCCCTTTTATAGGAGATTATGGTTGCTGTGTCATACCCACTAACCTGCACTCACTCAAGCAGCAATAGGTGTTCATTTGTTACTGGTGCACCATACATGTAGCAAACCTGTTACATTTTAGTGTATAATTTGCAACTGAAATTGGTTTGCCAACTGAAAAATTATGATGAGTGTTCACTATTGGTCATTGCCATTGGTAATTTTTTTTTAAATTCTCATCCCTTTACTTAGTTGATATGAATGATGCTAATTCAAATGAAAAAAAAGTTCTGTGAGCAGAACTTATCCCTCCTTGTGCAAATTTTCCTCACTATATATAGACTATATGTCATCCTAATTTCACAGTCCCTTTCTAAACTACTGAATTTTGTCTTTCTGGCAGTACAGTAGAGGAGATTCTCTAAGAAGTACTGAAAACATGGCATGACCACTATGTGCAGATTGGGCCTTTACTCTTCATTATATACCTCATCCAGACTAGAAAAAACACAGTTCACCAGACATGCATACACCTCCAATCTTAGCAATTTTCCTGCGCTCTGGGTGCCCGTTCCTTCCCAAAGACTATAACATAATTCAAGGCAATCAGCAAGGAAATGGAGGGGAAGGTTCCTTCCAGTTCCTTCCTAGTTCCATACTCCATTTCCTTCATATTGCTGCTTTGTCAGTCTTCTCTCAAAAGAAGACTGATTTTTCATTATTTCTACATGCTTGTGCTTGTGGTCTGTATTTTTTACACTAAAAGTCTTTGTTTAAGTTACAACATAACAGATTTAGAGATAGAAATTTTTTTGATATTTGAAGTGACTTGTGTATTTGTGAGCCATAATCCCAGAAGAGTTTTATTGTTGCTAAATTGACACAAAACTCTAATTTCCTTACCTAAGGTATAGAAGCAAAACAAGAACATTGGACAAGTTGGATGGTTCTCTTGTCATTGAATATACCATTTATGACATCACACTGCAACAATGGTTAATTAAGAACTCTTTAAACCTGATCTGGAATGCTCAATTCAAAACAAAACAAACTGTCTTGAAGATGTTTCAAGGTATTAGCAAATGCATGAAATGAATATATGGCTCTATTTCTCCTAAAGACGTCAAAATGTGAGCTGGGGTGTGGTGTAGAAACTGACCTACATGAACTATAGAGCAGTAACATGGACTCAAGCAATGCAGACACTGACGTGGTTTTAATTATCAGAAGGAATAAAACACATCCATTTTGTTATTTCCATGTTCTGTACTTTTATTCCTATAAAAAATAAATAGTAGAGCAAAAGATCCAGTTCATTAGATAAATGATCAGTATGAAGCTGGTTAACATGGTTTCATGACTTGGAGTTGAAACTGTGGTCAGCAGGGAGGTGGGACTGTGATGGCTCAGGGCAGTGTGTGCTACACCTGGCATGCCTGCGTCTGTCTGCTCATTGTTTTAGTTTCAAGCTGCTGTAGTACCTTATTTCTGCTGCTATAATGAAATGGTAAGGAAATGCCTTGTTAAAGTTTAGCTTAACATTATTAAAAACAAAACAGTAATTACAAGGCATCACAAATGAAAGAGAAAACAAGAGGCTTATAACCATTTTGTAACACAGTTCGTCCTTGACCACCATGACCTGTTATTCACTTGGGCTTTGATGACTAAAATAATCTCTGTGTTTGTGATCTTTACAGCCAGAGTTAGAAGGAGCAAGTAAAAAAGGAAGGGGGAGGGGGAGAGTGGAAGAAATATAGAGGAAAACAAAGAAGGGGAGTGTCCAGACAGTGTTTATCTATGTTCTGTCTCCATGTTTATCTATGTTTGTAACAACAAAATTACACATGTGAATAAACAAGTACAAAGAAAAGAGTCATCACAAATGGGGAAATGTATTTTATGTCACCACTCAATCATGGTCTTTATTGTTAGCTGGAAAAATTCAGTCATCCTAATCCATCAACATTTCAGTCCTGTTGGGAAAAGGTAATAGAAACAAACAACACTTGTTTTCATTTGAACAATTTAAAACTGTGTGAGAGGGTAAGGAGAATGAGAAGTGGGTGAGCACACGCAGTACTCCAACATGTGGGAGTAAACAGCCTGATCCTTGTATTCCCACCATTCCTGCCCAAGGCAGGAACTGAGATGCACCCAGAACTGAGAAAGATGAAGGGACCACATCAGCCAGGGTGGGACATCTATCATGGAAACCTGTCTATCACATACCCCCTCAGTGGTATTAAGCTACAGAGTGAGAAGGTACAGGCAATTACTTTGACATCCATATACAGGCTGAGGATCATGCAGGAGATCTGTCTCAGGGTAGATTTTGGAAGAGCACCAACCTGATTGATACGTGGCTGTCAGCTCCATGTGTGCTTCATCGCAACACAGAAGGTCTGACTTCTGGCACCAAGAGTTAGCACCTGTTTCTAGTGATTCCAGGCACAACTTCCTGCTTCCCAGTAGGGTCCTGATCACACATTTGCACTTAAGCTCCTCCACATGGTCAGAGGCAGCAGAGAGGATGTCACAGCTGCTATTGAAAAGGCTGAAGATTGTCAACTTCTTTGGCTGAACAACAGAGATGGTCCTTGCGAACCCTGTTCCATCAATATTTGCTTTGTTTCCTCCTTTATTTTGGTTGGCTCTAATTTTTATCGGGTCTGTCTAATGTTTAACGTCTCTAATTAAGCAGAAGATGATGAAGCAGCATAAGTAACAGTGTGGGGAACAGCATGGTCAGCTGAATGCAACGGGGCTTCTGATTTTGTAAGTACTACACACACATTTTTGTTTTTAGAGAGTTGGAGATGATGCTTTCTGTAGTCAGTGGAATTTTAATATTAGGTTAATTTCATTTCTCTGTTGTGATTTGGTTCTGTGTGGATGTTGCAATGAAATATTAACCAAGCAGATGTGCAAGGGACCAGTGGGACCTGCTGTTCTGGGGAAATATGCTTAGACTGAAATCAAACTAAAAAAACCCTTTGAAGTCATGGTGACTTATTAAGTACTTGTTAAAAGAGAATACTGATGTAATCACCTTTCAGGTTGGAAACAGCCTTCACAGTGACTCAAAATTAGTATAATCCCACTAGTGACTGAACAACCAAGTCCAATTTAAAAACTCTTCTGGTGACTTAATTTATAAAGCAACAATTGAATTGCTAAGGCCAGGCTCTCTAATTAAGACTGGGGTGATTGTAGGGGGTAGGTGGAAGGCCACAATTTAAATTTAATTGCCCCTTTTCCTCCCATAGACAAACTAATATGTGGTCTGGAAGAGAATTCTTTTCTAATTTGCATTAAAAGTATTTCCGGATTTAACAAAGCCTTGACAATTTCTTCAGCTTTGAAATGTCAACAAAAATATTGGTGTCAGAAATCTTCTAATCTCAAAATTTTGAAATTAACATGTTTTTCATTTCTGAAAGGAAAAGTATGGGAGGAAAACTTGATGAAAATATTCAGTGCTTTCAAGCTTTTGATAGAAATACTTCTTCTAGATTTCTGTAGAAAGTTATGATACCAGGAGAAGATTTTAACTGATCTGTTACAGCAGAAGTTAAAAGCATGCCTAATATAAGTTTGCTGCAGAAAAAAAAAATCCCGAACCATACTCTTTGCTTCAGAAATTCTTTAAAATTTAGGCTAAGCTCAATATGGACACAGGAAGTAAAATTATTTTTTTCTTTCTCACTTAAGTGTCCAATATCTCAAATAACTAGAGAAAAACAGACTATGACATGTTTAACATTAAATACATTTGAAACACATTTCCTACTATATTATTTCTTCTTTTTTCCACAGTACATAGGAGTTGTTTGGGTTTTGCCTTTTTATTTTATTTTATTTTTTTTTTACTATGAAAAAGAGGCAGAGTTCTGTTTAAAAGTTATCTGCAAATAGTTTTATCACATTCCAACCTAGGCCATACTCCATCTTTTGTTTTAAGGAAATTCAAATCTAGTGTTACCCCTTGTTATTGTGGGTCACTGCAGTGGGCCCTGGCTGATCTTGGGCAGACCCAGTACACTCAGATCCTAGCAAATATGAGAACACACAGCTATCTTTATGTTTGCTATGAAAAAAAAAAGAAATACTATAAATACAAAAATAAAACAACTGGTTAATCACCAAGAATCCTTGAACTTGGGCTGCCATCAGAAACTCTAAATCTTTAGATAGTATATACAGTCATCTTTCACATCTAGGAATGAATGTAGAACCAAGAGAACTTTACCACAGACATGGGAAAATATACTCCTGAAAGAAAAAATATATAAATAGGCTATATTTGCTGGAAATCAGAAGACAACCCATGACAGTAGAAAAGTTCTAGAAATGTTTTCATGCTGAATATGTGAGGACAAAAAGCTTATTTCATTGACAGCTTGTTACAGTTATGAAGAGGGTTTATATGAGATGTCTCCCTAGAACTGCAGGGAACTGAATTCAGTAAACCAGAGATTTGTTCCAGCTCATGTGGAGAGCAGGTGGCTCATGTGAAGTATATCATGTCAGCTTTAGGAGAACAAGAATAATGAAAAAACTTGTAATCTCCAAGGGAATTAATCTGTGTCGTTTGGTGTCCAAATGGGATGATTGCTTCTCTCCCTCTTTGACCCAGGTCCTTCCCACATCCCATGCAGGTTAACCCATGGTGAGGGGCACACCACCATGTAAGAAGTCACAAACACTTGTCGCAGCTCCCCCAAAAGGAAGATTTCTTCATTCCCAACATGCACCTCATTATCTGACACAAACCTGCTGCTTGCTCATGTCATTGTGCCCACCTCTCTGTGCACTGCTGTCATGGCACAGGATGCTCCAGGCTTTTGCTTTGGAGTTCATGTAGTTCACTTTCTTCCATCACTTATCAGTTTTGGCCAGTAACTGGCCATGTGAGCAAGTAGCCATGAAGTAAACAGGGGTGTGATTTAACAAGCACAGGATAGTCCATGACAGCTCTCTGTCCATGAGGAAAGTGAGGGAATTTCCTCAGTCCCAGTGAGTAGTGAGCTGCCTCACATTTCCTTACATATATCAAATTGCTTTTGGGCAGGTGCTGTGGAATATTTGACGTCTTTGAAACCCACACCCTGCCTTACCTTGTAATAACTTGCATGTCTAGATGTACCCTATAGAAGACAGTGTTTTGGGAAGATAATGTCATTGTGAACAAAGATTATTACAGACTGTAGCTTTATATTTTCATTGCCAATGGAAAAAAGTACTGCTTTTTCAGAGCAGTTACAATGGAGTATTATGAATTTCTTATGCCTGACATTTTAGTCTATAATTTATTAGAATTTGTTACATAAATTTGACATTGTGCCCATGAAAACTTTAAGCTTGCTATGTACATAGATATTTACAGTTGAACTATGCAACATTTGTGCTAACAAACTATTGATTATTTCTTACTACCAAGCACATCATTAGCATCTGACTGTTTAATGACTGTTTATTTTGTGACAGAACAATTTGAAAAGAAGATGAAGTTTCCCCAGTGCCTGTGTTTACTCCTTGCTGCTCTTTGTGCTGTAACCCATTGCTGCCCTGAAGACATTTGCCATGAAGTCAACAATACTAATCTGCAAGATGGAAGAGAAAATTTATTAACATATAGCTGTGACAAGAAAGGCTCTAACCATGCAGATTTTGTATTTAGATTTTACAAGCAGGTTTCATCAAAAGAAGCTGATAAAAATGTGTTCTTTTCTCCTATGAGCATCTCCACTGCCTTTGCCATGCTGGCTGTTGGTGCTAAATCAACGACTCTCTCTCAGATTTTTGAAGGACTGGGCTTTGATGACCTCACTGAAACTCGCATAAATGATGTACATGAAAGTTTTCACAAAGTTTTGTCAGTACTGAACTGTGCTGATGTTAACATCACATTAAATATAGGAAATGCCCTTTTCACAGCGACTGGGTATGAACCACAGGAGTTGTTCCTACAAAACACCAAAAAATTTTATGATGCAGATGTTTTCTCCAGTGATTTTCATAAACCAGAAGAAGCTACAAAGCAAATCAATAAATATGTAGAAGAGAAAACTAAGGGGAAAATTCCTGAATTAGTTGGTCATCTTGATCCAAGTACTGTACTGGTTCTTGTTAATTATATTTACTTTAAAGGTAAGATGATTAACATATATTTCAATAGATAGTTTTGATACAAAAAAAACAATTTTAGGGAACTTATGATGATTTATTACCAGAGTGACAATTTAGAAAAGAGCTAAACTGTGCAGGACCTTTCAAGTAAAGATTAGATCTGGCCAAAAGCAGAATATCTGATTGTTGAGACATACTGATTTCTTTGTTTTGATTTAATTTGCTTGAAAGCTATGGACAGAAAAGTTCCACCCTAGTGGATGCCTCATAGACAAGGATGCACATAGTCTCACTGTTTGAGGCCATAATGACTAAAGATGTACATGCCAGTCAGACTTGGTGGACTGACATCCTTGCACAGGGACCCCAGTTTTATGGTAGATCTACTAGGTGCTCTGCATGAAAAACTGGGACATAATATTTTGAGGGCCTGTGCATCTGGAGCCTTGCTCAAATGTTAGGACTCTAACTACTGATGAATTCTACACCATGCAGAGTGCAGTCAGCTTGCACAGGGTACAGCCTAACAGAAAAGCCATGAGAAGGGCCTATGACTGAATGCTTGATTGTTTTTAAATGGCATGAAAGGCATTACACAGGCTTACAGTCAAAGAAGGATTCTCAACTGGTCATCAGCCTTTGGTTGTTCTTCAGCAAGACATTGCATGTGCACACAAAATATGATGAGCTTACTGCACAGTTAGAATGCTTTATTGGGTGTTATGGAGGAGGTTGAAGCGATTTAGAGAGCCTCTTCTCCCATCAATATACCTCCAGTATCCTACATTAAAGCTGGTCTAATTTAAATGAGCCATTCTTCATGATCTTTGAGTGCAACAACATCTCTTTTTCCCCATTAGCTGCCTGGGAAACGTCTTTCGATCCTTTGCGCACACATGAGGATGATTTTTTTGTGAACCCAAATGCATCTGTTAGAGTCAACATGATGCAGCATGATGGTATCTCAAACGTTTACTATGACCAGGAGCTCTCCTGTGTGGTGGTAGAGCTTCCTTACCAGGGCACTGCACGAGCATTGCTTATTCTGCCTGATGATGGAAAGATGAAGCAAGTGGAAGATGCTCTCTCCAAGGAAACGGTTTGTAAATGGGACAGCAAACTTGTGATCAGGTAACTCTTAGAATATGGATTGCTACATTTGAGCACACATCACTCTTTTCAAGGGAAAATGCCAATTTCAGATCACCTCCCACTGGATATAAGGTCCTGATTTCATAAAGGGACGTTTCAAGCAATTCCCCAAAAGAGTCAGAGCAGGGCACAATCACTAAGAAACTGCAGGCTCTGTGACCTGACAGAAGGGGACACAGCATTGTAACAGATGCCTCAAAACTTGCTTGGCTACGTTTTGACTCCTTACCTCTTCTTTAGTGGTGTTAACACGATTCATATTCCTATTCCATAGCGAATATGTCCTAGATTTTATCCTCCTTTTCCCTTACTTTAGGCTTTCCACTGTCCAGCAGACTACTGTCTGCTTACTCTCTTAACTCTTTAGCCAAAAACTCTACTAGCTGCTCATGTGGCACTGGGATGAAAGAGAGACAATGAATAAATTTGGTTATTTTCCCAAAATCACATAGACAGTGTAAATTCAAGAAGATGGTGCATCTCTCAGGAAGCCAAAATTGCTCAAGGAATACAAAGACTACCATCAAACAAATGCGCAATCAAAAGAATGCTTTCAAGTGTTGCCGAGTTGCATACACCCAGCTGGCTGTAAAGAGGCTGCAAGGGCTCACTGCTCTTTTCTTTTCTTTGATCAACAGGAGATTAAATCTGCAGTTGCCAAAGTTTTCTGTTAGTGGGTCTTACGATGTTAAAACCCTGTTTGAGCAAATGGGCATTACTGAAGTGTTCTCAGGTAATGCTGATCTGTCTGGAATTAGTGGCAACCACAATCTCCAGGTTTCACAAGTAAGTAGACAGAGCTGGTGATGGGATGGTGGTTGGCTGATTTGATCAGTTGTGTCTGGGATTTTTAAAGACTTTATTTCCCTCTTTATATTACTGAAGTTGTAAGTAAAACTTACAATGACATGTAGGGGCTAGCTCAGTAATTGTGCTTTTTTGCAGAAAGAATCTGCCAGTTCACTTTTGTATTACCTTAATGCTGTTATTAAAAAGCTGGATATTAAATACATAGAGATATTGGGCAACACTTTAAATAACTTCTTTGCACTGGAATATAAGAGTTTACATGAAGTTGTGTCATTTGTAAACTACAAATGAGGAATTCATCATGATATTTGTGTTGATTAATATCTCAATTTTTAATATTCCCAAGGTTTTCAGGAAATCTCCAGTTTGCAGTAGCAGAATTTGACTGTGACAGTTTGAGCTATGATTTAATGCTAAAAATGCCAAATACTGCCCCATATTACCATTTAAATATCAGGTTTTAGTTAATCTTGAAATAAGAGAAAGTGTTGCTAGTAGAAGTCCAAACCATCTAAGAAATTAAACTAGCTTGTACATGGAGTATTTTTATCCCACTCTACTCAGCACTGTTGACAATGCATTTCAGTGTGTCCATGCCAATTTTTAGCCCTCCTTGCTCAGTCCTGGCATTTAAAATACTCCTGTTTCAAACTGTTGGAGATTTATCATACAATAAAATTTAATCTACTGGATTATTACCCCTTTCTTCTCCTAAATGTTCCATAAGAAGAGAATTTATTTTACTCCTGCTTCCTGTCCCATATATAAACCACAATGTTTTCTCCTATTCTGTGCAGGCAATTCACAAGGCCTTGCTTGAAGTTGATGAGGCTGGAACTGAAGCTGCAGGAGCCACTGCCATCATCTTTACCAGAGTTTCGTTTACTTCTCGTACCATCAAATTCAACAGGCCCTTCCTTATTTTGATCTCTGACAAACAAACTGGCATCACACTTTTCATGGGGAAAATTGTTGATCCTACTAAGGAGTAATAGCTGAGTTATTTGGCACAGTGATACTGGATATGGGTTATAATGGCTACAGCACTTGCAGTTTTGGGCTAGGTAGCGCTGCTAACTAGTGTCTGATTGAGGGATATTCAGAAGTAAATAAGAAATTTTCAAATAAATTAGTAAGGAAAAAACATTGTAAAAAATCACCATCAAGTGACACTTTTTAAATGTAACATTTTCCCCAGCTGAATAGTTGTATTGGGTTTGCATGGTAAGGTTTTGGTAGTGGGGGCCTGTGGGAGGCCTGTGGGGGGGCCTGTAGGGGTGGCTTCACTCAGCAGCTGCCACAAGTTTCCCCCGTATCAGACAGAGCCACTGCCAGTCAGCTCCAAGGTGGATCTGCTGCTGCTGAAGGCTCAGCCAATCAAGAATGATAGTAACACCTCTGTGGTGACATATTTGAGAAGGGAATAAAATTATTTTGCAGAAGTAATTGAGGCCAGAGGAGTTCAGAGTGAGAATAAATGACGGAAATCATCCTCCAGACACCAAGGTCAGTGCAGAACTAGGGGAGAAGGTGCTTCAGGTGCCAAAGCAAAGATCCACCTGCAGGCTGTGGTACAGCCCAGGGTGAGCAGGCTGTCACCATGCAGCCCATGGAGGTCCAAGGGAGAGCTGAGATTCACCTACAGCCTAAGGAGGAGGCCAAATCAGGTTAGGTGCATGTCCAAAAGAAAGCTGTGACCCCATGGGAAGCCCACACTGGAGCAAGCTCCTGGCAGGACCTGCACACCCATGGAGAGAGGAGCCCACTCTAGAGCCCGAACGAGCACTCAGGGCCTGAAGGACTGGATCCTGTGGGAGGGACCACAATGGAGAAGCCTGAAGGACTGCATCCTGTGGAAGGGACCACACTGGACCAGCCTGGGCCTGAAGTGCTGCATCCTGTGGAAGGGACCACACTGGAGCAGTTCATAAAAACCTGTAGTCCATGGGAAGGGCTCATGCTGGAGAAGTTTGTGGAGGACTGTCTGCTGTGTGAGGGACCCCACACTGGAGCAGGGAAAAGGCTCCTCTCCCTGAGGAGGAAGCAGCAGCAGAACCACAAGATGAACTGGCCATGAGCCTTATTGCTTGTCTCCCTGTGCTGAGACAAAGGTGTTTCTAAGATTTGTTTTACTTCTCATTATCCTGCTCTGGTTTTAATTGGTAATAAATTTAGTTAATTTCTCCAAGTCTATTTTGCCTGTGACAGTAATCAGTTTGTGATTTCTCCCTATCCATATCTCATCTGACTCATGAACCTTTCATTTTATTTGCTCTGCATTTCCCAGTTGAGGAAAGGAGTAATGGTATTACTTTAGTGGGCATTTGTCATTCAACCAGGATCAAACCACCATAACAATTCAACTTATTAATGCATATCCCAAATTTTCCACGGAAGATAACTTTTTCTTAAGTACGCTCTTATATTTAAAAATTAATTATCTCTGCTAAGGAGTTTTGTCCTGCTTTCAGTTCTGGATTACTCACCAAAAGTTTTATCCCAATATGTAACAACTCTTGTCATTCTACTATGTTTTCTCCAGTATTCACCTGAACTGGTCCCCGCAGAGTCCTTTCCTCCTTACATCACCTTTGCTGCCTAGGCTGATGTTTATCCTCAATCAACCTGTTCTTTCTCACATGTTCCAACTCTTTGCCTAGGACATCTTAAGAAATCATTGACAAAAAAGAAAGAGAATAATCCCTGAAACAATAGACTTATTCTAATGTAGCTCTTATTGCAAGTGCCTCTTTGCACTCCACAAGGTCAGCAAAAAACTCTTAAGAGACAGTGACATTAGGCATAGCATAAATTGTCAAAGAATTGTCTGTGAAAAAATGTCATTCATGAATAAATGATCAATTGTGGATAATCAATAAAATATACAATGTAATTTAAATATGTCACTTAAGGAATTACTCCAGTCTCTTTTACTATTCTATAAATCTCTTAAAAACAACAACCACCTTAAGTCATTCTTACTGAGATATCAGTAAAATCTATCTGAAAGCTGTTAAATGAGTGCAGCTTTTCTCATATGGAAATTGTGATTCTTCACATTCTCTCTTTACGTGCCTATTTGGATAAAATCTGTTTTCAAGAAATACCTTAACACTTTCTTGCTGGTGTGGGTCTGTAGATCACCCACCCTTGCAGTGGATCACTGGGGCTAAACTCCGTAGCAAACCTTGAGGCACATTGCACAGCTGCTGCCTCAAGGAGAGGCTGACTTTGACAGCTTCTATCCTGCTGCACTGCTCTCATGCCATTGCACATTGACCCTGGATACATTTTTTGCAAGTGGAGTTGAGTCCCCGTCCCTAGGAAGATGAGTCTTCTGAATGTACACTGCTCATTTCTACAGTGATCCTGGCAGTCTGTTTTGAGCACTGCAAAGGTGGTGCAAGCCCCAAAACAACAAACAAGTTCCCCATCCCTGACATCTCTCTGGCCTTCTGATCTGTTCTCCCAAACTTGGCCCACCTTACACAGGGGTGCTTTGCAGGGGCTCACTGCTGTTTGTAGGATTGGGTTGGTGTATGGGGAGCTGTGATTCTGACTCAGGGGGACTTGGAGATTGCTGCCTTGTGTGAGTCCCTTTGCTGCAAATGGCAAGAACTCGGTGGAAGCCCTGAGCTATTGCTCCTCATGAGGTAAGATGGCATCACTCAGGGGACTGGCAGAGACCACGCCTCTGTGCAAAGAGCAGCTTTTACAGAGTACGATCAATGAGAACTTGCCGTGGTGTGAGGCAGCCTCTCTGCAGTGCCCACACAAACCCAGCAGGAGCCGGGAGCAGTTCCCGTGAGATCCCATCCAGATAAATCTGTGCATCAAGACTGATTAGAAGGGAGGATGGTGAGATTGTTATCAAAGCCACAAGATTTTTATCAGAGTGTGGTGGCAGAAAAACAGGTTGTTGGCCAGTTGCTAAAGGGAAAGAAGTTAGGAAAAATCCAATAGTTGCTAGGACAGAGCAAAAGCTTTAGGAAATCACACACAGAGCAACTTCCTTCCCCATCTACCTCCCAGGCCTTTGGGTTTGAGATGGTAGGACAGCAGCTGTATTGGCTGTTTCCCTACTGGTCTATGAAAAATGGCTGCTACTAGCAAAAGTATAAAATGGAATAGATAACTCTGAATGCTGGTTTGGGACTTACCTACCAAGCTGTGGGGCATCTCTACAGTTGTCCTCCAGATGAGCAACTTCATGCTCCAGATCAGCAGGTTTACCTGAATTGTGACACCAACTGAGGGTAGGATCCTAAATCCCTCTGGAAAAAGGGGATGTGTAGGGGTAAACTAGTAAATTAGTTTACTAAACAGTAAACTAATAAATCTTGTGCCAAACATACACCAAAAGCAGAAAAATGCCTACAGTTCACACTATGAACGTCTATAGAGACTGGCCACTGAACATACCTCACTGATGTTACTCCCAGCACAGTTTTGATAATATTCTTTAGGAACTGGATAATTTTGGAAAGCTTGTGAAGGGAGATGGAGTATTTTTTCCTAATTCCAAGAAAATCTGTCTTGGTCTACTTTGCATCATCTGTCTTTGCAGTTTTCTTTTGTCTTAATATGTGATAGGGAACCCTCTTCTAGTGTTATTAAAGGTAGACAAAAAAGGAAGAGTTCTGATAGACATAAATAACTAAAATTTTCATTTAGGGACTGTGTATTTAATCTGTGGTAAACACGTGTTTTATGGTGCCTCTCATTTATCTGGAGATGTTTTTATTCCTCTACAATTCCCACTCATGCTTTCTCTCAGCCTATGGGGGCAGTTGGATCCAAACTAAGCCCTGAAAGAACACTAGATTTTCTTAATAAGCTAGAGGTTGTAGCCTTTAACTTAATCCACCTGACCCTGCAGTGAGAGTTAGCAGAAGGGGATAATACAGCTTACAGTGAAGTGTGTGACCACCTATCATAAACATCCAACTCCTGTGGGTCTGTGATCTGACACACTTATGGGAAGTCACGAGGAAAAGGACCTAGAGAGAGTTTAGCTCAGCTGAGAGCCCCTGTGAGGAAAGACAGACCCACAGGGCTGGTCTCTGGAAGGCAGCCTAGCTGTGCCCCAGCACCCCCGAGTGCCAAACTTCTCCTGGCAGCCTATCGGCCATGTGGGAGTCGTAAGTTTGTTCTGTCTGACCTTGTTTATGGTCCAGTGGGACTCTGCTTGATGACAGGATATCTTCTGTCAGTAACACTGTTTGTTTGCCACATGGCAGAGTCCATGTAGAATGTTGTTACAAAACACGAAGCAGTGGAACTGCAGGGCCGCTGCAATGTGTGTTCCTTTCAGCAGTAAGGAGAGGTGCTGCCAAAGGGCACAGAGCATTTGGGCAGGTACAGAAGCACCAGTTGCTCACATAAACTCTGCTGTTCAGGTGCTACCAATACTTTGGACTTGTTCCCAGCTATACCATTTGAGTCTCAGCCCTGGTATCTGGAATGCTTTGAACAAGCACATCCACCCTCTCCCCACAGTCATCTGCACAGCCTCTGATCACTGCCATTATTGCAAGGAAATGAGAATTTGGACAGGTTGCAAGCCAACCCCATTCTACATGTTTCAGTAGATTCAGTGCAACAAAAGCTGCAGGCATTTTCTTTGTACTAATTCCAAGCAGAGAATCACTAAGCTCTTAAAACCAGATTGTGATAGTTCCCAGGCACGGTAGGTTTTGAGTGGAGATTCTGAGAATGCAGCTACTCATCTTTGACATGAGTCTTGGTAGTTTGGAACGTAGGAAAAAACCTCAAACAGAGTTAATCCCTAATCCAGCGTTCAAATAATGTCTCCAAAGAACAGAGGCACTAGGATTTCCAACCGCAGAAAAAGTGCAAGAGAAACACAAACATTCTTAAATGTGTGCTTCATTTGAAAACTCTAAACATTCACTGCAGCGGGAGTTAGAACAAATGCAAATTATCAAGAGCAAAAAAGCATGAAGACCACCATGGGCTATGTATCTCTGAGTCCTGTAACACACCCTTCAAATCTTACCCATTCCTGGCTGGGTACTGCACATCTGCCCTTACCCACATGGGACTGCTTCCATTAGATTTAAACACAGCATATATATGATATCATTCATTCATGATATCATTAAACGGTTAGCCACCAAAAACTGATCTGGAAATATCCTTCATTAAGTTCCCAGTCCCAGGTATAACAGTGAATCCATCTAAAATAATTTGGTAATTGTACTTTCCTCAGACTAAC